CAATGATGAAGTTTGAATCCTACATGTTTGTACCTGTTGAATTAATTAATAATAATAAAAAAAAATTTGGTATAAAGTCTTATTTATTTATAGATCTGGGGCCCTATTTGTGGGGGAGGTAAAGCCACTGACCCCCAACAATCATGTTGTAGAAAGGGACTCATTAGGGGTTTTTGCTGAAATTGCACCTGTTTGTGGCCAAAATAAAAAAAAATATTGCAGCTGTCCTGTAAACCACAACACACTAAGTCAACTGGCTTTTTGAGGTGAATGCGGAAGATGAAGATTTATATATAAGTGCCAGAACTAACCAGAAGCAGACATCGGTCACTATTATGAGAATTGAATTATTTTCATCACAAAGTGGATGTTGCTTCAGTGCTATAGTTAGCAGCAAACCACACTGCAGTGGCACTTTGCCTGACATATGCCTGCTAGCCCAGTAGTCATAGGTTCAAATCGAAATTGAGGCAGATTTACAAGAAAAATTTCTAAAGGCTCCCGATGGGGCCCTAAATTAAATGTATTTGTAAATTCTTAGTTTCAAGCCCCCCCCCCTTTTCCCGCATGCCTGCATGTCCAATAGTCATAGGTTCAAATGAAAATGATGCAGATTTACAAAATAAAATATAAAAATTTATACAGACTAGCGATGGATCCCTAAATCATACGCATCTGTAAATTCTTAGGTTCAAACGCCCCCCCCCCCCCTCCACCTCCCTCTATTCTGCACCACCCTACAGAGTGGTAAATATAAGACCATGTCTTATAAAATAATGGCGGGTTAGGGGGTGGGGGGTGGGGGAAATTAAAAATATGAGTAGAATGTTTGAGTTTGTGTTCTGAAAACAGCACAGAAACGAACACCGAGTGAATGTTCGTATTGTCTCTTCATGTTATGAGCTATGAACTGACATTATAGCACTGGAGACATACCTCTAAGTGCTGCATCTCTGTTAATTTTGTTTTCCACAGGAGTGACCAAGATGAAAATTGTCAATTTTGACTGACCATTTTGGGTTTCCGTACATAATTCACAATTATTCATAGTAAAAACAACTGTGCAATTGGGGTTTATAAAAGAATGTGTTTTACAGCTTTATTTTTGCATTTGTTGAAGCATGCACAACTTTAAAAAAATCAAGTTTACTCATTACCTAGGCATAGAATTTGAAAAATTGTATCTATACTTGCAGTTGACCTTAGAGACTAAATTTAAGCTGTAAATTTTTTTTTTTTTTTTGAGGAGACCCATACAACCAGTTTCCTGGCACATAACATAAAAGAACTAATTCAATTGGTCCATTTATTAAGGATATACTTTATTCAGCCAATCAGTGCACTCATCTCAAAGGAAAATTTCACAGAAGTTTTCTCAAAATAACATTTTCGCACATATGCGTTACTGTTGTCAGGGTACTTTCAAAACAATTGGGCCAGACTGAATCAAAATTGGACAACATACTCTTCAGTAGATTCTATTTGAAATGTTCCAAATTTAAGGGCCCCACATTTCTGGTTAGTATTTAACTTGAGTTAAGATTTTATAAAACCTTTTTGAAAATTGTTGACATCAGTATAAGAAAATTTTAATACAGAGTTGAAATTCGGTTCAGGATATAGCTTAACTATATTTGAGCAGCTTTACAAACTTTTAGCTGCATACCTCAACAGTTTTTTTGCAGGATTAAAATCACTACTACAACCGGTTTACTCATCACTGAAATATGTACCTTCGTCAAATGGAAATAAGTATTCAATAAATATATGTAACTTTATTTCTCTGATATTTATTGGTTGGTGGATCTCATACAATAAATCCCTTTTTTTGGGAGCTTAGAAAAAAGAATTTTTGTATGCTTTGTAGAACCTGACCCGGTCGTGAACAGTCTGTCACGAAGGTCATGCCCTTCTGAAACTTCCTAGCCACACATACACGTGCTGGACTGACAGGTTTGCATCACCGTACTTGACCTCGAGTCACCTGTAAATTTTGATTTCACGGATCAGAACGTTGATAACAATGCTGCTGCTCTTTGGTGCCTGTCGAATGTAGGGCTGCCATATTTAAACTACCAGTTTGGTGGCACCATGTTCATCTACACTGCACTGTCACATGCTCAACTCTTGACATCCACAACAAAAATATTTACAGATTATAAGACAGTGACATGGTTATTGCAATTTCTGTCACACTTTTAAGGTTTTCATTTGATAGCCCCTTGTAAATAACCTGGGCAGACTATTAGGTCAGACAATTTTGAATTCATGAGAGTAGACGGCTGTCTGTGCTCCAGGAGTTGCCAAGAGAGTAGACAGCTGTCTGTGCACCAGGAGTCGCCAAGAGAGTAGACAGCTGTCTTTGTGCACCAGGAGTTGCCAGGAGAGTAAACAGCTGTCTTTGTGCACCAGGAGTTGCCAAGAGGGTAGACAGCTGTCTTCGTGTACCAGGAGTCTCCAAGAGAGTAGACAGCTGTCTTTGTGCACCAGGAGTCACCACAGAGTAAACAGCTGTCTTTGTGCACCACAAGTTGCCAAGAGAGTAGACAGCTGTTTTTGTGCACCACAAGTTGCCAAGAGAGTAGACAGCTGTCTTTGTGCACCACAAGTTGCCAAGAGAGTAGACAGCTGTCTGTGTACCAGGAGTCTCCAAGAGAGTAAACAGCTGTCTTTGTGCACCAGGAGTCGCCAAGAGAGTAGACAGCTGTCTGTGCACCAGGAGTCACCGAGAGGGTAGACAGCTGTCTTCGTGTACCAGGAGTCTCCAAGAGAGTAGACAGTTGTCTTTGTGGACCAGGAGTCACCACAGAGTAAACAGCTGTCTTTGTGCACCAGGAGTCGCCAAGAGAGTAGACAGTTGTCTTTGTGCACCAGGAGTTGCCAAGAGAGTAGACAGCTGTCTTTGTGCACCAGGAGTCACCAAGAGAGTAAACAGCTGTCTTCATGCACCAGGAGTCGCCAAGAGAGTAGACAGTTGTCTTTGTGCACCAGGAGTCGCCAAGGTGCCAGCAAAACCAGCTGTCTATAATATATCAGATCTGTTTTCTACTTTTCTCTTAGTAACTTCCTGGTTGTTCGTCCATTTGGACTTTGACTTTTTGCCTAGGGCCAGAGTTTTGCGCATGCCTCCATTTTACCGTCTTATTCATGTGCAGCTGGTTGTTTACTGCCGCTCGGGCAGATGCGCTCCGACTTTGAAGGAAATCTCCAATTACTGTACTCTTAGGGCATGCTTGTCGAGGAGACAGTAGGTCTGTTTTTGTTTCCACTACAATGGGAAGAAACACACAGGGAAGATTTGAGTAAAGAACATTGATCTCAGTCTTATGCTGGGAGTTTAGCCAGGTGAAACATACATAAACATCTTCAAAGTCAAACAGGAGAGCATTATAACCAGGAGTCATTAGAGCTTCCTTGAGATGGCTTTTGCACCAGAAGACAGAACTCATCATGGGGAATACCCCGTGCAGCTGGTGTACAGTCACATCAGTTGTTTTAACAATGAGACAAGATGGATATCATTTTGAAAACGCTTCCTCCGAGCAAAGAATGCATGTTGTTAGCATGTTTCCTAGCTTGTGTATGATAACTCTTGATGTTTGTCTGTTGTTTGTGTGTGTGTGACTTGCCAGCATGCTTGTGTGTGGTTAAAGTTCATTATGGGTTTTATTTTAGATGAAAAGTAAAGGACACCTTTCCATACCTTGAGGCATATAGGGCTAGACCCATATTTTAAACAGCAATCGGCACTTGGTAGGTTATGTGGCCGGCATCATGCAGACCACCTTGAATTTCTAGGAATCTGCCTGGTACCCATTTAAGGCTGGGTTGACCTTGGAGCCCAGGTCATTTTTGAAAACAACAAAATTCAGCTCCGTTTAGCATTGAACCCATGACCTTCAGATCCACTATGTTAATCTGTAATAATGCACATTTTCATACTAATTCAGATCTGCTTTTTTTCATGTTTCATCATCATTGTCGTTGGGGCATGCCTGAATGCCGCTGCATTCCTTGCAAACCTTTCCGCTTGATGAATAACTTCCATGCTTATGGTGTCATTCACACCCATGTCCACAGTTGTGATGTTCATCCCCTGCCCCTTTTTCAGGAGCTTCCTTGCCGGTTCTAAGGCTTCTTTGTGGAGAGAAGGACAGAATAGACTTGCAGCCTCTTAGCAAGCATGTCACATAAGCCAACTAATTGGGGTTGTTTCATTCGAAGTCAGAATGCATCTGCCTGAGAGGCAAGGAACTGAGTCTCTGCATACAAATAAGTCAGATCTGTAAAATGGATTGCATGCAGGACGCAATTTCTGGAACAAAACTTTCTTTCCATTTTTCTTTCTTTCTTTCTTTCTTTCTTTCTTTCTTTCTTTCTTTCTTTCTTTCTTTCTTTCTTTCTTTCTTTCTTTCTTTCTTTCTTTCTTTCTTTCTTTCTTTCTTTCTTTCTTTCTTTCTTTCTTTCTTTCTTTCTTTCTCTTCTTTCTTTCTTTCTTTCTTTCTTTCTTTCTTTCTTTCTTTCTTTCTTTCTTTCTTTCTTTCTTTCTTTCTTTCTTTCTTTCTTTCTTTCTTTCTTTCTTTCTTTCTTTTTCTTTCTTTCTTTCTTTCTTTCTTTCTTTTTCTTTCTTTCTTTCTTTCTCTCTCTCTCTCTCTCTCTCTCTCTCTCTCTCTCTCTCTCTCTCTCTCTCTCTCTCTCTCTCTCTCTCTCTCTTTCTTTCTTTCTTTCTTTCTTTCTTTCTTTCTTTCTCTCTCTCTCTCTCTCTCTCTCTCTCTCTCTCTCTCTCTTTCTTTCTTTCTTTCTTTCTTCTTTCTTTCTTTCTTTCTTTCTTTCTTTCTTTCTTTCTTTCTTTCTTTCTGTCTTTAGTTCATTCACTCATCTTCTCAAAGGGCCTGATTTTGTCTTAACAGTTGAATGTATCATTCTGTTCAAAAAGTTTCAATTGGTTGCATGTAAGATAAATAACCTTTGTCTTAATTGTCTGGTGTTTTATTTTGCAGGCACATCTTCCTCTTTGACAAGGTCATGCTGATGTGCAAGGCTAAGGTAAGACTAGAGACTGGCTGTAGTATATAGGCATTTCTTTGTCTGCCTGGAGAAGCAGTAAGATATATGTTTCATGATACAAAGGTTGGGGTGCCTGCCTCACGCTTCAGACCCTAACCTGAAGGGGATGAATGGAAGCGGGTGATATCTGGAGCAGTGAATCTTATAATCTCAAATGCAGAAGAAGTTAAAGCAGTGTTTTGGTTCAGTATGTTGGAATTCTTGTTCTTCTCCTTTTTGTTCGAGTGACATAATTGTGTTGTGCCTGTTCACAGCAAGGTTGCATTATCCTCGCTTTTTGGCTGACACATCTGATATTATTGACCAGTTTTGGACTGGGTTAACGTCCTGGAAATGTTAATTACGAGGGCATATGGGCACGCAAGATTAGAATCAGGGACTTTGGCTGGCCAAGACCTTGGAGCATATGTATACCTTCTCGTAAACCAGATTTCCAATATGGGTAATAGTCTAAGTATCTTCACTATACAGTTTGGGTTTAAACTGTTTTCTTCTCCGAAATTGTATTTTGAAAGATTAACATCCAATGATTCAGTGGGCTACTTTTTAAAATGCAAATCCAGCCAGAATGAATGGACACGCCCAATTCAACCCTATAAGAGTTATTTTGGCAAAACTCTGAACGAGCACCCTAAGGGACGCAATCTGTTTTTTCTAAGTAATACAATAAATGCCGACCCTAGGGGATGTAATCCATTGTTTGTGTAAGTTCATATAATAATATTCTTTAATATTTTATATTGTTTGAGGTTAGGGTTAGAGTTATGACTAATCCTAACCTGAAGTAATATTAAATAGTAGAGAAAATTATTGTGTGAACGTACACAAAGAATAAATTATGTCCCTTACTATCATCGCAACTAAACAATAGATTGCATCCCCTAGGGTCGCCGTTTGAAGTATTGCCGTGATTTTGTTACACTCTGTGATTAGATTAGAGCCAGACATTTCTCTAAAAATAACATTGACTTTCAGGTTGACACAGCCTTAAATTGGTCCCAGACAGAATCCTGGAAGGTAATTGTAGCTAGCATGATACTGACCGCACTACCTACAGAGTGCTGGTTGGTCTGAAAATATAATTCCCTATATACCCAGTACATCTATATGCCTAGAAAAAGGTCCTTTACTTTTACCCTATGATTACCTGAAGTAACGCTCTGGTCTTTATGGGTGGGGTAGTAAATTTGGTAGTGACCTCCATCTACCTCTCTGACTGGAGGGCTATGGATGCTAGATGCTGGCCTGCCAGCCCGAAGGTATAGGGTTCAGATCCGTAAAAGGATATTTTACAGAACTAATCAGCTCCCAGGTTAGCGCTGCTTTAAATGGATACCAGGTAAATAAATGTCTTGGAAGTAAAGGGGGCCAGCACCAGCATGATTTAGATCATATCACCCATCAAGTGCCCATTGCTGCCGAGTCTAGCATCACATGTCTGATATGCTAGTAGTGTGAAAATGGTCCTTTAATTGTGTATTTATGATGGAGGCCTCATAATATATTGTTCTTATTGGAGCCTTTCCCATCTTTCCAGATGATAACATTGTATCGTGCTACAGGAAGGCAGGGTAGTCGCATGTTTTTGCGCCAGTGCGACTAGCAAGATACATTTGTATTAAGAGTAGTCTCATGTCGTGTGGCGTTGGTAGTTATTTCTATCCACAACCTTTCTGTCTCGTTTACTTTCACTCAGTAGGGAATAGAGAAGTGTTCATGTTAAAGCTGAATTATTGGATCATCTGTGTGGCTGTCTCATACCTGTTCAGACAGTCTGTTGAACATCTTGATCTTGTGAGATGTGTAGGTACTCATTTGGATATGTTTTAGCTTTCGTTTTTTATGTGGTCACAACACATAGCACAGATGTATGTTTTTCTTTTATGTTTGAATATTTTTTTAATAAAAAAATCTTTATGTGAACATAATAAATAGCATATGTTTTTCATGGATGTAATATTGTTTACTTTTTAGAAGATCTTTGTGATGTCATTATAAGTAGCCACATATGTATGTTTCCCTGTAGGTGTATGAATGTTTTTATTATATTTAAAAAGTCTGTGTGTGGTCTTTATATAAAGCACAAAAGTATGACTCGCATGCATATATGAATACCCTCCCCCCCCCCATCCCCCCGTCTTCCATGCCCAGTTTTTATGTGGTCATTATAAATAGTCCAAATGTATGTTCCCAATTAATGTATGAATTTTTTTTAAATTGTATTTTTCTTGGGTCTTCAGTGGCCATTTTAAATGGCGCAGATTATGTTTTCCATATGTATAGACATATTATTGGTGGGGGGGGGGGGGGGGGGGCTGCTGCTGGGAACACGCGTCTGCCAAGTTTTCAGGGTAAAAAATGTTGCACCCGAAACCTTAATTATTATCTAAGGAGAATGGCGCTGTGAGAAGTTACCAGGGGATCTGGCCGACACTCAACACTAAGGAGAAGGATGAGACGGATATACAATGCAATCAGACGGGTACTGGTGCCATAGAAATCGGAACCCTTTGCTTGCTGCTGAAGATGGGGACTGAGCACTTATACGAGTGTCCCGAGTGCTGTGATGTCGATTCTTAAGTCAACATTCAACCCGAGATCTATCCTAAATTAAATGTTGTGTTTAGTTCTGTAATCCTCTGTTTACATTTAACTCTTTGAGTCCCAGGGGGTTTTGCATCACAGGCCCGGGGGGTATCAAAGAGAGTCATAAAATCGGCGCATCATGCGTTCATTGGGCTTCTAGGTAGGAACCTATGAACGTATGATGCGTTCCTTGGGACTCAAAGAGTTAATTGCTTCCTTTTTTCCGGAAAAAGGGGGGGGGGGGGGGGGGGGGGGTCAGAAGTTATCTGTTATCGAAAGACCCCAATACTGTACCCTCTTGCCCTTTTCCTGCCAAGCTATTAAAAACGGTGCTTAATTATTTCACTCTCATCATCATCATCATAGACACCACCTCTGCTCCATGCCGTGCCATTAATTCTAGGCGAACATTGTTTGTGATGGGATCTTGGCAGGTGTCCAACAATCAGGACCTTACACATGTGTGTACACCATATCTTCATCTTTGCCTTCACTGGCTGTAAATTCCAGTGGAAAGTTCTGGTTGTTCGTCCATTTCTGGACTTTATCTTTTTCCAGAAGTTTAGTTTTCTGTGCATATCTGTTTTGCATGTCTGTTTAAAAAAAATAAATTTGCAGACTGTTGGTTTTTTGCCTCTCATGCCGATATACTCTGACTTAGAAAGAAACCCCTAATTAGTCGACTCTTATGACATGCTTATTAGGAAAGCAGTGGGTCTGACACCCCCCCCCCCTCTCCCCGGAACCCATACAAGGAGTATCAATATAACAGCGAAGAAGAATTTAGCGGCTTTACTTTCTTTGTTTTTTTCCTACTTCATTTGGTCATTCGGCTTTCTTCATTTGTTCATTCATTTGCTTGCTTACTTTCTTCTTTTTTTTCTTCTTCTTCTTTTTCTTCTTCTTCTTCTTCTTCTTTTTCTTCTTCTTCTTCTTCTTCTTCTTCTTCTTCTTCTTCTTCTTCTTCTCCTCTTCTATTTCATCCGCCTCCTCCCCTTCTTGTTCCTTCTCCTCTTCTATATCATCCCCCTTCTTCTTCTCCTCTTCTATATCTTCCTCCTCCTCCTCCTTTTTTCTTCTTCTCCTCTTCTATATCATCCCCCCCTCCTCCTCCTTCTTCCTACTCCTTCTTCTCTTCTGTATCATCCCCTACCTCCTTATTTTTCTTCCTTCTCCTCTTTTATATCACCCTCCTGCTCCTTATTTTTCTTATTCCTCTTCTTCCTTCTCCTCTTCATCATCCCCCTCCTCCTTCTTCCTTCTCCTTCTGTGTTCACCATTAAAATGGCAGTTGGTACATTGTGTTGTGGTTTACTGCTAGACTGTGATATCAGACTAACTCATCTGATTTCAGCCAATCCTCTATCAGTTGCCTTTTACAAAGTGCGTTTTAAGCAGCAGTTGGTCTGATGTCCTCAGGGTCTTATTTCTTCAGGGGGTTTCTTTCCAAGTGAGAGTTTATCTCCCTGGAGGCAGGAACAGATAGTCTGCATACAAATAAACCATATCTGTACTACAGATTTACATGCAAAACTCAGCTTCTGGAACAAGACTAAAGTCCAGAAGGGAGTAGTCAACCAGAACTTTCTGCAGGTGTTTATAGTCAGTCACCATGAAGAAGAAAGCACTGTATTATTCATGTTTGTTTATTTAAATTCACAATTCAAAAACAATGTTTTGAACCCTTGTCACTGGCTGAGGGAGACAGAGCATCTGCTTGTTTATCTGAAGTGTTACAGTGTCAGTTATACATTAATCATAAATATATTATTGAAAGAGTTACACAAGTTGATCTTGTCAGTAATTATAGAGGCCAAACCTGCCCTCTTATAAAACACATTCACACAACCTTGAGTAATTTTTGTGCATTAAGCCCTGCCACTGAATATTAATTCATTGTTTGTTTTCTATGTTGTGCCCTTCCATATTCTAGATTGTGGACAAGTTTTTCTGGGTAAGCTCCCTGCAGAGAATGCACTTCCTGTTGCCATTTTGTTTTCTCATTTTTGCAATTATTCACTCAGACTTTCCTTAAAAAAAACAAAGCCCACCTGAATGTGAATGTTTTAGCTTTCCCTTTCGCTAAGCTATGTTAAGCAGTATAAAGATCTGTAAGGGGTAACTATTGGCAGTGCTTTTTCTGTAGGAGAAATGACACTTATTGTGATCATCTTTGCTCACTTACTAGAATGCATGTAATGTGTTTTCTCAGAAGCATGGCGACAGTTGTTTGGCTAGTTCCTAAGTATATTACAAATTTGTAGAATCAAATGGATATAGGACATGTAATTTTGTTTCAGTTATGTATATTCTTTAGTTAAAGTTAAGTTAGTTGCATATCCCTTAACTTAACAGCATCGTTTGTAAACCTTTTTACATCTGCTGGACTGGAA